ACTTCAGGGAGGAAATCAATGATGGTGACACCGAGCAAGACCCTTTGGGACCCCTTGGCTATTTGAGCCCCACCATCACAGTGTTCCTTGTCTCTTGAAGCAAAAGGCCTTGCTTTACACCTCCCCTGAGTCTCAAAGGATTAGGAGTTAATGATCAGGAAAATGTGAATATACAGAAACAAAATATAGTTGTTGAGTCGGGGAACTAGTAACAGTTCCGGCAATAGATGAGCCACATAGCAGAGCCACAGGACCTTTAGTTCCTCCCTGAAGGACACAGATAACAATGTTTGACACACATTCCTAAGTTGTTTTTACAGAAACCAGACTCCCACCAGATGGAAACTGCTGACCACAACCACAAAGACCCCAGACCGACTGGGATTACAAGACTGATGATGTTGACTCCTGAAACATCATCCTGTTACCTCACCACCAAACAAGCAGAAGAATGTTCATGAGCTAATCAGGCATCCTGCAACCCACACCCGTATCGTTGCCTTTAAAAACCCTTCCTTGAAGGCCACAGGGGAGTTCTGATCTTTTGAGCACTAGCTGCCTGTTTTCTTTGTTTGGCGCCTGCAGTAAACACTGTATTTCCTTCACCACAATCCAGTATCAGTAGATTGGCTTTGCTATGTATTGAACCAGTGGACCCGAGTTCAGTTAGGTAACAGTGGGAGAAGATACATATACCTCCAACCACCTCCTCTCACCCTCTAGGAGTGTGGTTTCCCCAAAGCTCCTTGGCCCTCTGTTCATTCCGTTCACTTCTCACCAGCCCTCTTCCATCCAGTCTCTTTGCCTACTTATCACAAGACAATTGTAACAAGCCTCATCTCAATGGGGTTTCCAAGACCTTCCAAAATGTGATTTTATGCTCTTCTTATCCAATCTCATTTCTTGCTGCTGTCCAGTCTGGTCAGGTCATTTCCCCACAAACTCTCAATAGACCCATACACCTGCAGCTTGGGATATCTTTTTCCTCTTCCAGTATCACTTTTTACACTGTATTCTTGACAGCACCAGCACAATGCAAATCCTGATGGAGAAGGATTTAGATGAACTTTTTACATTACAGCCAGTATTTTTTTAAAAAAATTTCACTACACCCTCTTAGTCCTAATTTTTTAAGCATTAAGGAGAGCGAACCAAAAAAAAAAAAAGATAAAGAAAATTCCAATCACCTCTTTATTTTATGTCTTTCAAATCCTTCTCTCAACTCTTGCTCTTCACCGATCAAAGATAAATGGACATGTGTGTATGCACGTGTGCACGCACAAACACACACACACACACACACACACACACACACACACAGAGAAGCAACTTCTTCAGGTAGAAGCCCCCAGGAAGGGTGGGATTACTCAGAATTGTGAGAATCAGGACCCACAACTTCTGCTTTCCCCAGCTCTGACTCAACTGCTGTTGGGTTACTCTTATATTTATAAGACAGAATGGGGAACAGAGTCATTATAAATTAGAAGAAAGCAATTGGAGATCTGGAATTTTTAGGAAATGATGAAGAGTGACTAGTAACCCCATAGTTTGGTACCATTAAGTAACTCGCGGGGAGGGAGCTGTCAGATCTTTAGATTTTGGAGGAAAGACTTTTACCAGTTTTGTTAGTATTGCTACTTGCGACACTTTAGTTGGGGTTGAGGCAATAATTTCCCTTCCAAATTTCCATAAATGTAGGGAACCAGGTTTCAGTTTGTAAAAAACAGAAATTTCTGGCTAAGTCAGAGAGAGAAGAGTTGTATCTGACACAGCTTATTAAGGGACCAGTTTTCAACTGGTTGAAAACAGGACAAGCGCTAACGATCTCTCTGCAGGCATGATGATCTCTCTAATCATATGTGGTAGTTAATTTTGTGTGTCCACTTTGCTAGGCCATAGTACCTAGAGATTTGGTCAAACATTATTCTAGATATTTCTGTGAAAGTATTATTTTAAATGACATTAACCTTGAAATCAGCAGACTCTGAGTAAAAGCAGGTTATCCTACATAATGTAGGTGGGTCTCATGCAAGCAGGTGAAGACACAAATAGAAGGAAATTGACTTCCCATGAAGAAAAGGGGATTCTGTGAGGCATATTGACTGCAGACTTAAGGTACAATGTTTCTTTTTCGCCATGTCTCTAGCCTGCCAGTCCACCCTGCAGTTTTTGAACTTGCTAGCCTCTACAATCATGTGTGTGTGAACACATTCCTTAAAATAAATCTCTCTCACAGATAGATAGACAGATCAATCAATCTCCTATGGGCTCAGTTTCTCTGGAGAATTCTAACAATATACTCTCTTACATAAGCTTAGAAACTTCCCTGAAGAGTGAGTTCATAACATCTCAACACTGACTCTTCTCTTATTCTACATTTACGGGCAGATCATTCTAATATCTTTATCTCCCTCAGAGAAAAATTATAGGCATTATCTGTAGGCAAAGAGAAAAAAAGAATAAATAAAGCCAAACATAAAATTCATTTTGATAGGTATTAATTTTTGATTAGATATTAAGTTTTGTGATAGATATTAAATGTGTGATTTCTTTGCATGATAAATTTAATACTCAAAGAAATAAAAAAAAGAAAAAGAAGTAGTAGGTGGAAGAGGAAAAAGGGGAAGAGAAGGAGGAGTAGAAGGAGAATAAGAATAAGAAGGAGAAGAAGAAATAGAAATGAAATTATTAAAATGAGCAGTGGGTTTTTTAAAAAAAAATCTAAAACAAAAAACAGCATCCGTTCAGGATGAATCAATAGACTGGCCAAACCCTTTTCTAGTAAAACGATATTTAGTTGTAAGAAAAGCAACCACAGTTTTTTTTTTCTTCTCTCTCTTTATTACATTTATTTGTGATTCGTACATTGTCTATTTCAAAGTCTCATTTAAACTTTCTATGGTGAATCATTCCCATCACATACTTTCTTAGTAATGGTAGTGAATCACTCTTTTAAAATGTTTTAAGTACTTAATGTTCCTTAGCATTCAACACTTAAATTTGTTATATGCTACTATGTGTAAATGATACTATCATCATAAGATCATCATTTTCCATAGAATTTAATAAACATTTAAATGAGGTATGAATGGATATTGTCTTATTTTTGACATTCCTGAAAATATATTGTTGACGAGATCAGGAAACAGACTAGTATAGCAGAAAAAGTCCTAAGCTTGAAGTCAAAAGACCTAGATCCTAGTGCCAGGGTCATCTTAGCAAAGGTATTTGATATTTCTGAATCACAGTCATGGCCTTGTTTTTAATACCCAAATTCTACTATGAACATTATATGAGAGATTATTTCATGTGAGAGTGCTTAGTTCAGAGAGGGATTCATTCATACAGTGCAAGTTAAGGATGTGTGGAAGTAATAATGTTTTACACAGTGAAAATGCATGATGAAAGGAGTGAGAGACTCAAGAGAACATTTAAGGGTCTTTCCCAGGAGCTCTGGGCTAAGAACAAGTGACTAAGTTGAAGAACTCAGTGAACCCTCTTGGCTAACAAGAAGGGCTCCAATTGGACCATCCTGGTTTCCCTGAACCCTAGGCTCAGGGAGAGATGTGGGAAGTATGGCCTTACAATGTGACTGGCCAGAATGAGAAGTCACCACTGGACAAGGCCGAGTGGCCTGAGGGGGTCCATATTCTCTAGGGTGGCAGGTGGCAAAGTCATCGCTTCAGGTGAGGGGGCTTCTGACCTGTAGAACCAAAATGTTCAGAAAGCTCACTTCCAGATATTTCAGAAATGTTGCCTAGTGAGGGGTCATCCTTGATATCAAGAAACTCATGTGTAGATAAAAATACACACTTTTCTGAATTGTTGGAAGGATAATGTACTTAAAGGACTTAGCAAAGTGTTTAGTATGTAACAGGTCTTCCCTAAATGATAGCTGCTCCCATTACTATTATCATCAAATGGGAAAAGAAGGTAAACGAAATTAAAGCCCTTGGCAAGGCAAGGGCCTCTGTAGATTATTTCTGAATTATTCTAGAAAGGATTAAAAAACACTTAGTTTTCTCTGAATGAGCAGAATTAACCATAAACCTGATAAAGCACAGAGGATTCATCTGAATCATCTGAATAATAACTGGGGAAAGAGTGGGGAAGCCTTGAGATTGAGGTTTCCAGAGCTGCCAAGGGGTAGGAACTAATGACTCCCCACATCAGCCCATGTTCCCCTAGGGGGAGACCACAGGGAGGGCATGTGTGCTCATAAAAATGAGTAGATCATCATCTTAAAGCATTTAATCTGCATATACTTATTCTCTAATTTGTTTTAAATAGAAATACCAGAAACTGGAGAAGACTTTTGAGAGTCTCTTGGACCACAAGGAGATCAAACCAGTCAGTCCTAAAGAAAATCAACCCTGAATACTCATTGGAAGGACTGATGCTGAAGCTGAACCTCCAGTACTTTGGCCATCTGATGTGAAGAGCTGATTCACTGAAAAAGACCCTGATGCTGGGAGAGACAGATGGTAGGAGGAGAAGGGGTGACAGAGGATAAGATGGTTGGATGGCATCACCAACTCAATGGACATGAATTTGAGCAAATTCCAGGAGACAGTGAAGGACGGGGAAGCCTGGTATGCTGCAGTTCATGGGGTCGCAAAGAGTTGGACATGACTTAGCGGCTGAACAACCACCAATGAATAAAGTCTCCTCAAATCTGATATCTGAACTTGGCACTTTAACTAACATTTCCACTTACTTTAATACTCATAATAATCTTAAAAGTCTATATCCTTACTCCTATTTGATACGTGAGAAGGCAAGAGAGCAGACAGCTAAAGTGACTTTTCCCCACTGATACTGAAAGTAGGGTTGAAATCCAGGGCAGTCAGTCCTCAAAATCCCTGCCCTTTGCTCCACACTCCTCATTGCAACTGTGCCTTCCCTTCCTTGACAGCACTCTTCTGTTTAGAAGAAATCTTTATTCTGTATGGAGCTTTGCAGCAACCCTGTCCTGTGAACACTGACCTTAGTTTTTTGAAGTGGTTTCCTCATGAGTGCTGTGTACCATCCTCACTGAATAGCTCGTTGCTTCTCAGAGTGCTGGTGAATTTGGGTGATGGCACATAATCAAGCCGTCTCCACTTTCTTTGGCCACAAACCACTTGTACCACTAAACAGAAAAGAAGAAACAAAAGGAAATCAAGTATACAAAAATGATTACAAGGGTTAAGTGCCCCAAATCAGAATTTCTTGGTTTACCCCACTGATTGATTCTCTTCTAAAACATGCACTCTCCATTTGCTGTTCTCTTTATAGATATCACATTTTGGAACACCCACTAACATTAAGGATATTTCCTCTGTTTTAAATTGGGCATTTTTCTTCATTTGAGATAATGCATCTAAACTTAACATGATGTTTAGATATTTACTATAGATTTCTCCAACCCCATGTGCTGTAAAGATGTAACTAAGCAAAAAGAAAACAGATTCCAATTAAATTGGCAAGATTTATGTCCCTCTCAAAAATGACGAAAAAAATTAAATTTGGATTTTCACATTATTGTTTTCCATTAATTCTTGTTTCAGCATTACAGAATTAGTTGGAAATAATGTGTCCTTTAAGCATTCTGTTACTTCAAATATGTTCATCTTTAATTAGAAATTTTTCCAGTTAACCAAAATTAGGTCACACCAAACTTTCCAAAATACTGCATTTAAAATTTTGGTTGACTTTTGATGTCTCCCTAACATCTATTTACAAAATGAAGAATAATCTTTTTTATAAATTTCAGTTTTTTTAAAAAAAAAAAACCTCCCACATTAACTGTAGTTCCTGGTGCTTCCTTTACATGTTCATAAAAGAATTACTTTTTGAGAGAAACGTTCCAGGTAATCACCCACTCTCTTCTCTGGTGGTTAGGAGTTTGAACATTTTACAAACAAAAACATCACTTTTTCTTATTGTCATAAAACCTGGATTTTTAACATGAAGCCTCAAAGCAGCAGAGTACTGCTGGTAAAAGGTGAGATGCTAGACGCCACCCTGTCATCTTTCATCTCAGTGACTGCCTACCACTTTTGTTCACTGATGTACGTGCTATAGGTGTCCGCCTTCACAACTTTCCACTTGCGTGGAATTCCATCTGTTTAATCAAACCGAAACAAACTGTAGTGTCAAGGTCCTTGTACCTTAGAAGATTTCCTTCCTGATATACTATCTTGTTAACCCATTGCATCATTCAGAAGAATAAATACCCCAGCTCAGCACACAGGAAGTGTAGCAAAAAAAAAAGGAAATAGAGAATATTAAGATATATACATATATTAATATGTTTCACACATACACGAACACACAGAATATGTGGTCTACATAACAGAAAAGTCACACATGTATTAAACATATGTAATGATATATGACATGTGCACTTAAAATTATAAACCCAGTTAATTACATTTGGATTTTTCCTCATTTTTCAAAGAAAAGAGTAAATTACAATATAATCCTAAATTTGTGGTAGGATTGTGTAGCAGAAAAAAATACGAAGCAGGATTCCAAATTCACTCACAGTAGACTTCCACGTGCCAAGAAAATGCAGCTTTGTGTCTCTACAGTTAATTTCATCTTTCTTATGAGTTCCCATCCTGCTGGATGGAGAGGACATTTGAATGCATCAATAAATAACTGATTATTTCTGTCTAAATTTCAATCTATTCAAGTATGATACGATACCATGCGTCAGAGCTGGTTCAAATGGCTTCTTTGGGTGATTCAGTCGTTCATTTCACGCTCAGACATTCAGAGTTCTCCTGTCCATTTGGGGCAGAGGCTAGGTGAATGAGGGGCTTCGCTACGCTCTCTGTGGCACCCCTGGCCACACACCGGCTGGTGTCCTCTGCACTCTGGCTGTTCTGCTCCTGTCCCGGGCATGCTGCTGCTGGCCGCTCCTCAAGTCTGGGGCTGGTATGACTGGCTGTGTTCTCTCAGTCTGGCCTGAGGCCAAGGTTCCTCTCTGGTGACTGGGCCCCTGGAGGCTGGCTGCAACCTGGCTTCAGAGCCACTTGCTCCTACCTGGGGATTTCTGCCAAGTTGGTCAACATACAATTGCTTCTGCTGCAGCCCTCATCCTGCCAGCAGGAACCTCTGAACTCTCTGCATCGTCTGAGTGCCAAGGGCATCTCCAGAGGGCGAGCTCAGACTCTTCCTGAGTGTGTGGTGGCCCCACATGCCCTGCAGGCCAGTCTCTCCCACTTTCACAAATAGGAGTAAGGCTGCTCAGCTTATCCAGTAGATCCGTCTGCCCTCCAGAGCCTGCAAGCCAAGGGGAGGAGGCCGGGGCTGAGTCCTTCCTCTCCTCCCTCCCTTCTCGCTCCCTAACCCGTTCACTAGTTCTTTCCACACTCTTCCACCTTTCTAATCCACCTTTCCACCCTTCCACCAGCTTTCTAATCCTCCTTCCTTATACCAAACCTTAAAACCAAGTTACCAGATCAGGTTCTTCCCATGTTAATAGGACAAATAGGAATTTAGAAAAACTTTTCTTTGTTTTCAATGAAATCAGGTTTTATTGTCTCCAACAAAACAACAACAACAACAACACAAAAATCCCATTTTGGTTTTCAGAAGCCAAACAGTGAATCTTTTTCTTCGCACTTCTGCCACAAAATGTTCCAATACACCCCCACCACTTCCTACCTCCTCTTCACTGCAGATCCTAAACAGGAAAGTTCAGTAATAATATTTCCAAAATCTGTTATCCTCACTCCACATGCAAAAAGAATGCAATTTCAAGGGTCTCTTGGGTTAATAAATCAATAAAAGAATCACATTTTATTCTGAAAGTTAGCGAGTCTTAAATTGGAAAGATCTTTATTTATGGTTACAAACTCACCCCAGCATTTACATAGCAGCAGTTAAGAGACTTTTGAAAACTTGACATCTGATGAAACTGTTTTTCACCTCATTTTATAGGATTATTTCCTGTTTCATTTCTTGTTTGGGCATCTAAAATAGCTTAATGACCCTATCTATATTAATAAAATATGAGTTAGAGTTCTTTTTTAAAAAAGTCTTCAAAATACTTCAATACACTATACTATATTTGGGATATTACCTCAGACTTTATCACTGAAATAAGATTTTTGAAATCATTCTTTTGAATCCTATGAGGCTTTAAGTAAGTACATAAGACTCCATAATACCTGTAATAGAAACAAAAATTTTATTTGGTTGTCTATACCACCCTGGACTCAGGAATTTTTAAAAGAGTTCCAAAAAGTCCCCTGAATAACATGCAATATTTTAATCTACATTTTAATGGGAGAAAAATCATAACTTTCATTAACTCATCAAACGGGATTTTGATTCCTAATGGGTTTAGAATTTCTTCCATGCTTTATGTTTACTAATATTGAGTGGCCAAAATCAATTAGTTGAGAGAAACTGAATATAAATGACAAATTGCATTTTGCAATAAAATAAGTAGGTCGAAAAGTTCTCATTATGAATAAATTATTAATTTGTTAAAGGTAAATGACTGTGCAGTTATACATGTTTTCCTTCACAAAAGACGTAAGATCAGGGGATTTCCTTGTGGTCCAGTGGCTGAGATTCTGCACTCCCAGTGTAGGGGCCCTGGGTTTGATCCTTGGTGGAACTAGATTCCACATGTTGCAACTAAGAGCTCGCATGCAGCAACTGAGACATGGCACAGCCAAATAAACAATTTTTTTTTAAACGATATAAAATCAAATGAAGGGAATCCCACCTTCTCTAACCCTTTTATTGTCTACTGGACAGAGTGCAGATTCCTTAGCATGACACAAAATGTCGTTTACAATCTGACTCTGCCCAGGCTTTTCAGATTTGCTCTGTCCCTTTGCAAATCTTTCTCTGGTAGCTCAGATGGTAAAGAATCTGCTTGCAGTGCAGGAGACCTGGGTTCGATCCCTGGGTTGGGAAGATCCTCTGGAGAAGAGAATGGCAACCCACTCCAGTATTTTTGCCTGGAGAATTCCATGGACAGATCATAGGATTGCTAAGAGTTGGACATGACTGAGCCAACTAACACACTTTGCTCTTACTCTGCATCTCAGCCAAACCCAGTTATTCACTTTCCTCTGTGTCTATCACGCATTTCCAAGCCTCTCTGTTAAAAACCTCCTGTGTGGCAAACTCTTACCTATACTGAAATGTCTCTTTCCTGTCCCTCAGTCACCATCTTAGCACTCTGCACAGCTCCCTCCTATACCGGTAAACACACTATATTGCAATGGTTACTTTCACGTCCTTACTCACTATGAATAGAGACTAGCTTGATGGTTTGGGAGAGTATCATATGTATCCCATATCCACAGGACTGAGCACAGAGGAGAGACTCAATAGACACTGATTGGATTAATAATTAAATAAGAGGATTCAAGAGAGTTAATAAAGGACGCTGACAGAGGACAATGGGAGGCAGCTCAAGGAGACACGAATTTTACCATATTCTCATGAAACTATCTAGAATGATACCTTGTTGTCCCAGCAAAGATCTTCACACATCAGTTGAGAATAGGGGCAAGTTTCGGCAGCTCAGGCCTCATGTCAGAGAGGGAGCGCCCTTCCAAGGAGGCCTGGGTTACATCAGGGCTCCTGGGGGCCTCCTCTCCCACCCTCTGATGCCTTAGCCTGTCCTACTCTGATTCCTCCTCTTCCTGCTCCCACCACTTTCCCTGTCATTACGACATAGTCTACTCCCTACGCACATCCCTTTTCACAAATAGTCTAGTGCAGAGGACCAGAGTCTAGATGATTTCAGGCAGGCTGGGTAGCTGTGAGAACTTTTTGACCAGCAAGTGTTATGCACCTGCATTTAGGAGTTCACAGAAAAAACATAGCAACTTCAATAATCTAAGGTAAGGTGCCTAGATAAACCCAGGCTGGAACAAGGCCTTCTAACTGATTGTACATTGGAGCTCATATTGCAAGATGGGGTGAAGATAGATGATGGTGTCCTTAGTATAGCCCAGTTTTAATAAAAATGTTTCATTGCTCTAACAGTAATGAATGGACAGTAAAAAATTAAAGGCTATAAAATGCAGTACAAATATATCCTTCCCTACTCTAGCCCCAAGATTCCCATTCCTACTCTCCCAAGGTAACTACCAGGAAAAATTTCTTGTGTATCCTTCCAGGAATGTCCTTAGTATATATACATGCATACATATACACAATATGTATTATATAAAAATACTATATAAGTATCACAACTAGAAATATGCATTATATAAATATATATTTATGCACAAATTACAAGACCATTAAAATGTAAAACATATAAAATCATACCTACATATGTATGTGTACACATATATATAAAATAATTCTCTATAAAATCTATGCATATACACATAAGAATATATGCATACATATATAGAGTTAACCATGGACCTAGCACTGGATACTAAGAAGCATGGCTGGTAGTGGAACTTGGTGACAGTATTATTTTTTCTGATGGTATGCCAAATTTATTAAGTGAATCAGGTAGCATTTTTTTTGTTGGTACAGAAGATAGCTGTGCAGTGCCTGACCTCCTGCTGGGCGTGGACACATCTGGTCAGAGTCCTCTTCCCTAGGAAGACTGGTTTGTGGATCCTCTTATTGAGTGACTCTCAGTGCTTCATTGTGGCAGCAACTGCTTGTGACCTGCTGAGCTCTGAGACTGACCTGCTGGTTGCTTTGAGACACCAAAGCATAGCAATCACATAGCAAACACATCCAGGTGTTCAGTAGGGTCATCTAGACTGGTTCTTGACTGTTCATTGACTCCACCTGGCTTCTATGCCAGTGTCTGGGGGGTAAAGACCATGTGTCAATCATCTTTGTTGACCCAGGACAGACCCCATACCTTAAAGAGCATTTGTCAAACAGATCTGAAGCCGTAACAGGCATTCAACACAACATCTCACTTGTGGAGTCTCCAAAGAGCCCCATGGCCTTTCTACTGAATAGTTATCAGGAGCATCCTTTAGATGCCATCTGGAAGTGATCATTTGCCTTGTGTGCCTCTGGCTTGCTCTTCTATCCTCATACTGCTGTCAAACCAGCAAACTGAAGCAAGCCATTCAATGTGATTGCTATGCTTGGCAGCTGAGGTTTTTAGGGGCAGGGAAACAATTGTTTCATGTTCTGAAATACCTGCGCAGAGTTCCAGTAATCTTTGTTCTATTGGGGAAGAAACAGCCTAGTGTCTCTTAGGCAGCATGCGGTGAAAAATGAGAATAAAACAATGGAGAACAACAACAAAATGGAAAGAAAAGTAAAAGACCATGAACTTCAACTCTGTAAACTCATGTATGCTATGCTACGCTATGTTGCCTCAGTCGTGTCTGACTCTTGGCGACCCCGTGGACTCTAGCCCACCAGGCTCCTCTGTCCGTGGGGCTCTCCAGGCAAGAATACTGGAGTGGGTTGCCATGCCCTCCTCCAGGGGATCTTACCCACCCAGGGATCGAACCCAGGTCTCATTATGTCTGGCGCTGGCCGGTGGGTTCTTTACCACTAGCACCACCTGGGAAGCCCTATAACTCATGTACGCATTCTTTTAGTTGTGGAAGCAGTAAGGTGTGACTGTGTGTGTCAGTTGCTCAGTCGTGTCCGACTGCAACCCCATGGGCTGTAGCCTACCAGGCTCCTCTGTCCAAGGGATTCTCCAGGCAAGAGTCCTGGAGGGGGTTGCCATTTCCTTCTCCAGGGAAGGTGTGACTGGAACATACCAGATGGAAACCTGGATTCAGTCCCAGCTCTGTCATGGAGTTGTGAGGCGTAAGGCAGAACTGCTCCAGGCCTCAGCCCCTTCCCTGGGGGGACAGGTTAACTGGAAAAGAGGAGATAAAGTTGACACAATAGTGGTGTTGTCCCTCTGATGAGGTTCCAAGTGGGGGAATTATTATACTTATCAAATGTGTAGAGAGAGCAGAAGTTACAGAGATATGGATTCTGACTCAGTTTAAGGAAGAACTTTCTAGTATAAAGTTTTCCCCAAATGGAATGGACCACTTTGTAAGGTGATAAATTCTTTGGTCCTGGAAAGATTTGAACCGTCCTAGATAGAAGAGTGTATTAGTGTATTTAAAACTCCCTGACGTCTCTTAAGAATGTGATTCTATGACTAGTTGATCTCTAAGGCAGTATTGTCCAATTGGACTTTCTGTGGTGATGGAATGTGCTATATCTGGGTTGTTCAAAATGG